GACCAGCAGAAAAGAATAAAGGAGACAAATATTATACACAGATGAATTTACCAGAGACATCCTCTCTGCCACGCAACTGCTGCAAAACCCGCTTTGCTTCGAGCATCTTGCCCTTGCTCACCAGCCACCTAGGCGACTCGGGCAGATAAAACACAGTCAACCCAAAATACGCCAAAGAGGGCACGAAAATAATCCCCAGAATAAACCGCCAGCTTGGCGCAGGCAAGAACGACATCCCGAAAATCATGGAGTAGGCCAGGAAAGTCCCCCCTGAGCTGAAGAACTGAGGAAGTGTGTTCAGCTGGCCCCTTATCTCAGGAGGGGCAGTTTCGGAAACATACACGGGAGCAAGTGTGGCTGCCAAGCCCACAGCAAACCCATCCAGAAGTCTGGCCCCAAGCAGAATGTATACGTTAGGGGACCAAAGCATTATTATACCGCTCACAATGTAGAATATGGAGGACATTATAAGCATTGGGCGCCGGCCAATCATGTCTGATATTGTACCCGAGCAGGTTGTGATGAGGGTTGCACCAATTAAGGATATGGCCACTATTAGGCCTTCCACGGCAGAACCCATCTCGAGCTCCTTTTTGATGTAGACAACAGCTCCTGCAGCCAAAAGGGGAAAAAATCGCGAAATAAATTCATGTATTAGTGTTGTGTGAAGCGTTGAAACCTACAGATTTAGGCCATTTTCGAACTTTTGAAGGGTAAGAAGGTGAAAGATTGCTACTTTTTTCGCGGAAAAAGGATTTATATCATTTTGATTCAGAACCGAAGGCTCAGTTCTAGAATCAAAGTGGATATAAATGATCTTACGTGTTCACAATTCGATAAGTGGCTACAGCAGCGAGTGGCTTATGAGAAAACGAATTTAATTCGCATCATGAGAGTATTCAACATCCTATCATACTCTTAGATTTAGTAATTTCCGCAGTGAATCACTTTGGAAAGTTGAAAATAGACTCCATTTCAGAGAATAAGAAAACATAACATATTTAAGAAACAAAACGAGAGAGAAAGAGAGAACAGAAGAACAAAAGACCTCCAATAGTTGCATTATCCCAACCCTGCAACAAGTTACCAATCGTGGCAGCAATGGCTACCAGCACTGCCCCTTTCATCCTTGCGCCGTGCGATTAAACTATTATTANATTCAAAAAAAAAAAAAAGAATCCATTAACACAAAGAGAAAGCAATATTATAATTTATAAGACACTAACACCCCGTGATCCAATTCTAGGCACTTATAATACGAAAAGGGTTCACAATTCCGCATTTTTTCTAACCAAAAAGCAATAAATTTCAAAACTTGAATTAGAAAGACAGCAAAATAAAAGGAAAAGGGAGAAAAAATCTCATGGCCCATGATAGAGCTAGACTGCTTGATACCTTTTGAAAAGCAGAAAGGGGCACAAAGTGAGGGGGTCACAAATCCCACATTAAAGGGCCCTTTGGTGAATCGTAATCGTAAGTAGCGGCTGCAAGTATATACGAGCAACAAGAGAGAGAGAGAGAGAGAGAGAGAGAGAGAACTTGGAACACAAACTTTTGTACAGCTAAGATTCAAGAATCAGTGAATCACATTCCTTTCAGAGGCAAGTGCCAAGATGAGTGCCCACACAACACAGCTCAGACCAGTTCAACTTCAATCTGCAGCGCAATTTGTCAGAATTAACAGAAAACCTTTTTTTTTATTTGTTTAATAATAAAGAAGGGTATATATAACCCCAGAGGCAAAACGAGAGAACCATATATAATCACTGGTTAATTTTGAATCTTTACGCCTTGTGATCTATGAGTACTACGGGGCGTGTCCCGTGTGGAAATAAATCAAATATGTTTTGATTAGATTTTGAGCTAAAGTAAGTTAATATTAAATAAAATTGATTGAGTGAAAGATTAAGTGAGATTTTAATTTTGTATTTAAATAATATTTAAAATATAATAACTAAAATTGATTGTAAATATAGAAGATATATTGTTAGAAAGAATATGTAGTTAAAAATATGTGAATAAATTAATAATGCATGAAAATTGAAATAATGTTGAATGATTGATTGATTATTTAACTATATTGATAAAAAGTAAGAGGGTTAACTAGGGCTGCACACGAGTCGAGTGGCTCGCGAGTCGCTCGCGAGAGCTCGAGTCAAAGCTCGGCTGGAGCTCAAGTTTGGCCGAACTCGAGTCGAGCTCGAGCGGCTCGAACACGAACTCGAGTCGAGCTCGAGTCCATATTTTACATTGTCGAGCGGCTCGCGAGCGGCTCGAGATATATGGTAAATTACTAAAATACCCCTTCTATATATAATTTGACAAAATTGTTTGAACATTTTCGAACCGAACTCGAGCCGAGCTCGAGCATTTTGAATTCGAGCCGAGCTCGAGCTATTGTATTTTCTTATCGAGTCGAGCTCGACGAGCTCGAGCTCGAGCAGCTAAAAAAAAAGATCAATCCTGCTCGATAAGGCCAATGCTCGACTCGGCTCGGGTCATTTGCAGCCCTAAGGTTAACTTTGATTAAAATTGGGTTAAATTTTTAAGTTAAAAGATGTAAACAAATTATGGAACCAATCAAATCAGTTATATTTATATCCAATTGCGTCATGCTAAAGAAACTAAGATAAGCTCAAGTTTTTTTAAAAGAATTCGTCCTACTAAACGAGACTTATTTAAATACAGGAAACTTATAAGTTAACCAAATAAGTTATAAGTTAACTTGTTTGACTACCAAATATAGCCTTAAAGATTTGTTGGGACTTTAACAACCTAATGTATTTAATTTGGACCGTTTAAAAATAAAAATTCTGAGGTACTTATTAAAAATCTTAACGCGTCAAGAGGTATTTATCTTATTTAAAATTGAAATTAACTACGAATTTTTAAAATTTATTGAAACTTCATAAACAACCTTACTCCTCCTGAAGGATTAGTCCCACAATTCAGGGTGTGGATCCCTTTGGTCGTTTGGCCCGTACCCGTAGGGGACTGTCAGTTCATGGTGAAGCCTAAGAGTAAACGTGAGAATACCACTGGTGTTATTAAATAATAAAAAAAAAAAAATCTTCATAAACAATTTTTTTTAAAATCCTAGTCCAAATCTCACCTAACATCCATAACGGATACACCGTGCGTACATTGATTTGGTAATAGAGATTTCAAGAAAAGTAGGGAAAGTAATAGTAACTGAAGTGGGATAATGTACTTGTAATGTTTTTATTGGTGAGATTCGTGTGTACGTGTCCCAAAATCTTGGGTGACTTGTGAGGCTCATGCACCTAAAAAATTGGAATTTTTTGTTGATAAATATATTAACACAAGAAAAATAAAAAACAATTACTACTAAATTAAATGAATCAATTAACTCTTCAATATGAATTTAGCAAGACTGTAAATTAGAGATGTTAAATGGACTAGTCTTAATAATTTCGAGCTAGCTCTAACGTGCTTGGGGCTAAACTTGGGCTTAAAAAGTCTGAATTTAAATGAGCTACCAATAAATGGACCTAACCCTAATCCTAATAAGTTTCGGGCTAACGGGCTATACGAGCCATAATAATAATAATAATAATAATAATAATAATAATAATAATATAAAAAATTACAATGGTTGGTTAACAATTTTTTTCAACGACTATTTAGTATTTATCGCTCTCTCTCTCTCCCTCTCTCTCTCTCTCTCTCTCTCTCTATATATATATATATATATATATACACACACTTCATATATGAATACACATTACAAATTCTTAAATAATATATTTTTTCTCAAAAGAAAAAAAAATGTCCGAACTATTACTTATTATCACAATTTTACTATTTATTTTGTACGCTTAGGGAGTTTTCTAATATTATATCATACTGCTGAATTTACTATATTTTATATGTTAAATCTTTGTTTCGTGTGTTTCTTATTAGCCGTTCTTATTCGCTTAAATATTTTGGTGTGAAGTAGAATAACAAAATTTTTAATAATTATCTTTCAAAATAATAACCTATTACAGTTCATACTTACATGTGAAGTAAAATAACAATATTCTAATATACAAGGAATCTTAGAGCAAATTTCTTACCTGATGCAAATATTTACACTGCTCAACCCAAGTTAAATGGGTTAGCCCTAGCTGGCTTCGGGCTAAACAGTCTGGGCAAAAAAACCCAAATTTAAATGGTCTACCAATAAAGAGCCCTAATCCTTTTTTTTTTCTCGCGTTAAATGGGCCGACCCGTCGGGCCAAGGACAATTTATGATTCAACATCTCTACTGTAAATTCAAAACTAAATATAAATATTAAACAAAACAACTCAAACAGTTCCCATACAAGAGACTAAAGGTGTGATTGAATATAAAACAAACCAATTTTGATTGGATTTATTAATTAAAGTGAGTTAATTTTGAATAAAATTGATTGAGTAGAAGATTAAATGTAATTTTGAGTCTATATAATAATAATATTTTAAATAATAATTAAAATTGATATGATATAAAAAAGTTATTAGAAACAATCTATAGTTAAAAATATCTTAGTAATTGTAGCAAATGATGTAGCAACTGACACTTATAACTGTCTTTCTATGTTATTTTTATTAGAAAAGTCGTGTAGCACCTTATCTTTTTCTGTTTTGTCTTTTTAATGCTAAACGGTGTCGTTTAGGTTTGTAACGCCCACTTCTGATTTAAAGAAAATAATAATATTTTCAAGTAATTTTAAACTTTTCATAAATCCGAAAATTCTTTTTCTTGGGCCGTTACTAAAAAATACTCTTTCTTTTCTGAAATTCTTACTCTTTTCTTTCTCTGGTACAGGTCATTGGCAAGCTGTGAAATGAATTCTACGGTACATTCATAATACTGTAGACGTTGTATTAGTTTATCAACAGGATGAATTTGGTCAGTGTGTAGTTGGATATTGTGATTCGGACTATGCGGGCGATTTGGATAAGCGAAAAGCAACGATTGGATATTCGTTCACTTTTGCAAAAGCTCCAGTCAGTTGGAAGTCTAGTTTACAGTCAACAGTTGCTTTGTCTACAACAGAGACAGAGCATATGGCAGTTACTGAAGCTGTGAGAGAGGCTATTTGGCTTCAAAGTTTGCTTGAAGACTTGAAAGTAGGTCAAAAGCACGTCTTAGTGCATTGTGACAATCAGAGCGCTATTCTCTTAGCGAAAAATCAAATATTTCATGTAAGAACGAAGCATATTGATGTTCGCTATCACTTTGTGCGGGAGATTCTAGAAGATGGAACCGTTGTGTTGAGGAAGATCAAGACGACGGATAATCTTGCAGATATGATGACCAAGGTAGTGTTGGGTTCTATTAGGAACAACAACAACATGCACGTTTGAATTTTCGAAAAATAAACTCTAACGCAGCGGAATCTATAGTTAGGGTTAAGACATTACCGTTTAAAATTTTTGCCGACTCAAAGGCGTTTCTGATTTCCTTTGATGGAGATCGTCTGATTACCAAGACCCGATGGGCTGACGAGTTTGCCTTTCTCAATTCTGATCGAGTCACTGAATCACGAACGGATCACCGGATCGAGCTCGTCGGGCTCAGGCCGATTGAACAGGGTTTGGTTTGCCGGGTTGACTCGGTCAGAACTCGGGCTGACTCGGTCGGACTGCAGCTGGGCTCGCTCATGCTCGGCAGAGTCTCGGTCTGGTATGGTCGCGGACAGGCGCGGGTTGCTGGCGGGGCGCGTCGCGGACAGGCACTGCTCGAATGCCTCGGGCGCGTGCGGGTGTATCAATCCTGGACCGATGCGGACTGGGCCTCGTGCACGTGCGAGTGGCGCGCAATACGCGACGCCTACTCCTGCGAGGTCTGGGCGTGCAGGGTCGTCGGCGTCACGCGTGCATGGCAAGCAGACGGGACACGCGATGGGGCGATGGTGTACTAGCAGGGGTGTCATCACGCTGGTTCGTTGGGGCAGCACCATCGGGCCTGGCTATGCGCGCGGCTGTGTGCGCTGGCTCGCGACTGGGCTCGAGCGGTCTCCGGCGGATCTGGGCGGCAATGGTCGATGGCGACGGTCGATGGTGGAAGGTGTCCGGAATGAGGAGATCTTCAAGGTTTGAGATATATCACCTTAAGATCTTTGTTGTACATATTTTTACCATAGTAGAATCGAAAGATTCGTTCTCCGGGTCGTATCGTAATGAAGGTTAGCCGGATTATTATACACGTTTATTCAAACACAAATAAAAGAAATAAAATTCCTAAACATACTAATTCAGAGATTGGTTTTGATTTCAATTATCAACTACTACGAAAATTCAAATAAAGCAATTGAAATAGCAAGCAACAATGAAGAACAAGCAGGATTTAAGAAGCTAGGGAGTCGGAGATATCCGTTGTTCATACCCAATTTGGCCTCGATTAATAAAAATGCTACACGTGGATATGTATTAAATAAATATAAATATAGCAGATTCTCTGAGCTGATTATTTAATATCGACCATTCGAGTGCCCATATGATCCACGTTCGAGCCGAGCAGAATTAATATCATCAGCTGACCCGAATATCGAGAAGGTCCGTTTCCGACAAACACAATAATTGTCGATAAAGTAGACGTCAATCGAAGCCATCAAGTGTCACGATCGGCCCTATGATGTCATCTCACATTAAATACTAATGTCCCCTTTTTACCTATTTTTTAATAGGCCACTTGTAAAAGGGCCATGTATATGTAATGGTGAGGGGAGAGAGAAAAGGAGGAGGACACTATTCCTCCATCTTTTACACACAAAATCAAGAAAAAAAGGAGTAGATTTTCATCTCCCAAAAATCAATAAAAATGCATATTAATCAAATACCGATTATTCACAGAAATAGGGGTGTATTTTTCGTTAATACAATTTCGTTTATCAACATTTTGACGCTAGAGGAAGGTCCCCGTAATTTGCTCGGAGTCAATTTTTGCCAGAAATCGGCTGCATCTCTACCGAAACATCATCTCCTCCAAGTTTGTCCTTAATAACCATTTGTTATTTCTAATTCTCTGCACTATTTTACCCATTCTTCCCATTCTGTTAAAAAAAAATGAAATGAAGATCTGCAAGTTTAGAAGTAAAGTGAATTCGGGGCTATGCTGTGCTTTTAAGCCTATGTTAATATGTGTATTTANAAAAAGGGGAGCTCAGCAAAGATGGAATCTCAAAAATGGCGAGCAAATCGAAAACCAGATATCCAAAATACATAGCAATGGACGAATTAATCACGCAAAACAATATTCGCCCCATCTGAGTGCACAACCGTCAGATCCGGCGTCGATTTTCCTCGCTGGGTTCTCCGATCCCCGAAATCCCCGCTGGGTTCTCCATATTCGACCTACCCGTCGCCGATCTCGAAACCTCAGCCCATCGGCTCTCGACTTCACCATAGTCATCTCCAAAATTAAATTCCGGGGCCACTCGAAGCCCCGAAACTGCTCGATGACTTAACTATATGTCGACCGACTTCCAATTTGGCGACCTCATCTCCAAGCTCGGCCGACTTCTCCACTAGTCGATCGCCGACGAACTTCAAAATAAGATCTGACCTTACACATCGGCGAAGGATGATGGGGACCCTTCCATTTATCGACCTCGGCCTTTCTGGAATAGATCGAAGCCCGACTTCACCTCTCCGACTTCACAAGTGTCGAGACCGACCTCAGCTACCGGGCCCGACCTCACAACGTGGCCGATATCTCCTATGTCGGGCTCGGACCTCCACGCGACGGGTGAACCAGCTTCGGCCACTCCGACATCAGTCACCGAGACACCGAGCCGCCCACTCCACTGACGAATATGAAACCGAAATCAACACATTCGCGCCGACAACAAAGAGGGCCGACCTCGATTCATTCTCGCCGGTGGTTTCAACTTGCCGAGGTGGAATGAGCGTGTCAGCTCCGATCAGAAGAGAGTATAAATCAGGAAGAAAGATGTAGAAACGCTGAGAGGGATGGGAAAAGGGAAAGACTAAAGTAATTAAATTCTGAAGGCAGGTTTGGCCCAAAATTACAATTAAAGGGCCGTCCTTTTTACTATGATGTTGATGCGTAGGGGCGGGATATTAGTAGCCCATATACATATCATCCCTCAAAGTCTCAAACTGACGATCTCGGCCGAGTTTGAGCCCGCAATTACACCATGTCGTTGGGACCAACCACAACCGCTGGGCCAACATCATCAACTCCATTAACAGATCTGCAAAACTGCTCGACGACCTCACAAGTAACCACATGTTCGTCGACCTCCATTTCGGCGACCTCACCACAAAGCCAACCACAACAACTGGCCTACCTCAGTTGACCGGGCCGACTTCTCGGTCTCGCCCGCCGGCCAGCACATACTTCACAGTCAGGTCCCCGACCTCACGATCGCCGTAACCGACATCGTTCTGCCCAAACCTCGTAGCTTGACCGACTTCGACCATTAAAATCGACTGACCTCATCATCTCCAGATCGGTCCAACCTCGCCGACCTCAGTCGTGGGAACCCGACTTCACTTTTCCCGATTCACCAATCGTTTTACAACTGAGGTCGATCTCACCTTTCCCGATCTCTCAACTCGCAACCGTCGAGCTGCACATCAGGACTGAGCTTATCATCTCCAAACTGATTTCGGCATCCCTGACCTTTAAAATTGCAGTCGACCCAACCTCGCCTTGACCGAAGTCCCGAATTCAGAGGTCGAATCGACCTCATCATCTTGTGGACCGTCTAAACGGACGGGCTCGACCTCACCACGGTCAGCCTTCGATTCACACAACCAGGGCCTAAACCGACCATGGCTGACTTCGAACTTCAAAGCCGCTTCTTGGGCCGACATTAAAACGGGCCCCCAATCCGCCGCCGAGGCCCGACCTCGCCACAGCCCGGGCATCGCAAAACGCGGCCTCTGATTCACCGTCGGGGCCAGCCTTGCCTTCTCCGATCTCCAAAATCCCCACGGCCTAGTTTCCGAATTAAACCAATCGCTAAGCTTGGGGCTCGAGATTCGCCACCGAACTCCCTCTTGTCAAGATTTGGGGCTGAACTGGCGACCATCTCGGGACCAATTACTAAGATACAACAACAACAACATAGCCTTTTAGTCCCAAGCAAGTTGGGGTAGGCTAGAGATGAAATCCAAGAGAACCAATGGTAAGAAAAACACAAAAAGGGCTCAAAAGAAAAGGAAGAGATTTGAGCAAAAGAGAAAGGAGCAAAAGTCACGGTTCTGGCACATTGATTCCTAGCCTCCAAGCGCTCCTATCCACCGCTAAATCCTTGGAGATATTCCAATCTGTAAGGTCTCTCTTAACCGACTCTTCCCAAGTGAGATTAGGCCGACCTCTACCTCTCTTTACATCATCGACCCGCTGTAGAACTCCCCTATGCACCAGTGCATCAGGAGGCCTCCGTTGGACATGTCCGAACCACCTCAGCCGATGTTAAACCAATTTCTCCTCAATTGGATCCACCTCGACCCTATCTCGAATATCCTCATTCCGGATTCTATCCCTTCTTATGTGCCTGCAGAACTAACGCAACATACGCATCTCTGCTACACTTAGTTGTTGGACATGTTGCCTTTTTGTAGGCCAACATTCAGCACCGTATAGCGTCGCCGAGAGAATCGCCGTCCTATAAAACTTACCTTTTATCACAGAGAACGCCCGAAGCTTGACGCCATTTCAACCTACCGGCTGCAATTCTATGCCTAACATCAACATCAATGCCACCATCCTTTTGTAGCATCGATCCTAAATACTGGAAAGTCTCCTTCTTAGCCACCACTTGCCAGTCAAGGCTAATGTCACCATCATCATGAGTAGCCATGCTGAAAGCGCACGTCATGTGCTCGGTCTTCGTCTTACTAAGTCTGAAGCCTTTCGACTCTAACGTGTCCTTCCACAGCTCTAACTTCCTATTTACCCCTGCATTACTCTCGTCAACTAGCACCACATCATCAGCAGAACATACACCAAGGGATATCACCTTATATGTTCCTTGTGGCCTCATCCATCACCAAGGCAAATAAATAAGGGCTCAATGTTGACCCCTGGTGTAGACCTATTTTAATTGAGAAGTCGCTGGTATCGCCCCCACATGTTCGGACACACGTCATCGCATCCTTGTACATATCCTTGATGAGGGTAATGTACTTAGATGAGACTTTGTGCTTTTCTAAGGCTCACCACATGACATTTCTCGGTACTCTGTCATAAGCCTTCTCAAGCTCGATAAAGACCATGTGCAAGTCCTTCTTTTGGTCCCTATATCTCTCCGTCAACTGTCGTATTAGTAAAATCGCCTCCTTGGTCGACCTTCCAGGCATAAACTCAAATTGGTTTTGGGTCACACTCGTCACTCGTCGTAGGCGATGCTCGATAACCCTCTCCCAGAGCTTCATCGTATGGCTCATCAACTTAATCCCACGGTAGTTACCACTGCTTTGAACATCTCCCTTGTTCTTGAAGATCGGTATTAAAGTACTTCTCCTTCATTCATCAGACATCTTGTTTGACCAGAAAATGAGGTTAAAAAGCTTAGTTAGCCATACTAACGCTCTGGCACCCAAACATCTCCACACCTCAATGGGGATACCATCAGGGCCCATTGCTTTACCTCCCTTCATATTCTTCATAGCCTCTCCGATCTCTGCCTCCCGAATTCTCCTCACCAAGCGTCTATTGGTATCCTCAAATGAGTCATTCAACTCTAGGGTAGGACCCTCACTCTCCCCATTAAACAATTTGTCGAAGTACTCTTGCCATCTGTCCTTGATCTCCCCCTTCTTCACCAGTGGCCGATCCGACCCATCCTTGATGCGTTTGATTTCGTTGATGTCCCTTGTCTTCCTCTCCTGAATCCTATCCATCCTATAAATGTCCTTCTCCCCCTCCTTCATGCCTAGGCGCTGGTAAAGGTCATCATAGGCCTGACCCTTCGCTACACTCATGGCACGCTTTGCAGCCCTTCTCGCTATTTTATAGCTCTCAATGTTGGTTGCGCTCTTGTCAAGGTGGAGACACTGGAAACACTTCTTCTTCTCCTGAATAGGCCTTTTCACGTCGTCATTCCACCACCAAGTGTCCTTCTCTTCCTGCTTGCCTCCTCTACTCGCACCAAGTACTTCTGCAGCCACCTTCCGTACACATGTTGCCATCTTTAGCCACATGTCATCTGCATCTTCTCCTTCTTCCCAAGGCCCCTCGCCTAGTCTCCTATCCTTAAACGTCTGCGCCGCTTCCCATTTAAGCTTCCACCACTTCGTTCTTACAGTCTTGGCATGTTTGTGCCGGTGGACACGTATTCGGAATCGAAAATCCGCCACCACCAGCTTATGCTGGGGGACAACACACTCTCCAGGTATCACCTTGGAATCTACGCAAGCGCGTCTATCCTCCCTCATTGCAAGGATAAAGTCGATCTGACTTGAGTGTCGTCCACTATGGAAGGTCACCAGGTGAGATTCCCTCTTCCTAAAGAGGGTGTTCGCTATCAACAAGTCGTAGGCCATCGCAAAGTTCAACACACCCTCCCCCTCTTCGTCCTTACAACCATACACAAACCCTCCGTGCACTCTCTCGAAGCCTACATTAGTCGCACCCACATGGCCGTTTAGGTCTCCTCCTACAAAGAGCTTCTCGCTGGCAGGCACCATACGAACCAAGGTATCCAGATCCTCCCAGACTTGCCTCTTTGCGCTCTCACTAAGACCTACCTGAGGGGCATAGGCACTGATCAGATTTATGGTCAAATCTCCAACTACCAATCAGACTAGGATAATCCGGTCGCCTTACCTCCTAACATCTACAACTCCATCCTTAAGGCTCCTATCGATCAAGATGCCTACACCATTCCTACTCGATGAAGCCCCAGTGAACCAAAGTTTGAAGCCAATATCCTCCACCTCCTTCGCCTTCTGTCCCTTCTATTTAGTCTCCTGGACGCATAAGATATTTACACGCCTTCTAGTAGCTGCATCGACTAGCTCACGTAGCTTACCCGTTAGGGACCCTATGTTCCAACTACCTATACAGACCCTAGTTGGTTCGACTAGCTTCCTTGCCCTTCGCACCCGTCGAGAGAGATGCGAAGACCCTTGCTCATTTTCCACTACACCCGGGCGCCGATGTAACGCGCCACTAAGGAAATGATGAACCGGTCCTTACTCACTTAACACTATGCCCAAACCACAACATGGCGCGTCATCGACGGGGAGACGACCCGACCCTTGCCCATTTGACACCATACCCGGGTTTCGATATGGCGCGTCGCTAAGAGGATTACGCCCCAGCCAATTACCAAGATACAAAAAGTTAAACTATTCACTCATACACGACCGACCTTACACCTGCGATCGCTGGGAAGTCGAGTGGCAAGGATATTGAAGAATAAGAAGAAGAAGGTTAAAGAAGATACATCTGCGGTTGTGCCCTCGTGATGTAGATAAAAAACAGGAACCTTGGGCCTGATTAGTGAATATATGGGCTTATGAAATTGTTTTTAGAAAATGTAAAGTTAGTGGGCCTTGAAAAGATTTGTAATAGCTAGAGATAGGCTGAGATCACCAGGGCTAATAAGGAATCAAAATTTCGAAGTCGAAGAGCACAACTGAAACGTGAAGAATAGAGGCAGAAAAAGAGCCGACCTCTCCGAATTAATATTATTAGCTTGCACCTTGCACCGGCCCAAGGTAATCCAATTCTCAATTTCATTACAAATAAGTACATACATACATACATACATATATATATACATACATATATGTACAAATATGTACATATATATATGTACATATATGTACATATATGTATGTACATATATATATGTACATATATGTATGTATATATATATGTATGTATATATGTATGTACATATATATATGTACATATATGTATGTATATATATATATGTATGTATATATATATATGTATGTATATGCATATGCATGGTT